GTCGAGCAGGGAGCCCGATGCGGGACTCGATCCCGGGACTCCAGGATCATGACCTGAGCCGAAGGCAGTCGCTTAACCAACTGAGCCACCCAGGAGCCCCAAAACTAATATTATACTGTGTGTTAACTAACTGGAATTTAAATAAAAACAATAAAAAAAGGATTTCCATCTCTCTACTTACATTATTAATGTATTCTTACATGGTTCCTTTTCCACTAAAATCCTCAGCATTATTAATCACAGTATTTGAAAATTCCTGCTTTGATAATGTCAACATTCCTGCCGTATCTGATTCTGGGTCTGACGTTTACTTAAGTCACTTCAAACTGTTTTAATTCTACTTTACTTTTTTGCCTTTTAGTAGTCCTTGTGAATTTTTATTGCAAGGTCAACATAATGTACAGGGTAAAAGAAACTGCAGTAACCGGTCCTTTAGTAATGTGGTGGTAAGGAAAAGGGGAGTAGAAGCACTCGATGGTCCTATGATTAGGTCTCAGTCTTTTGGTGTGCCCCTGGGCTATGACCTTTACTAGTGCTTCTCAGTGTTTTCTTTCCTGTAGGTTGGACAGGACAGTTATAGGGGGCTGGAGTTGGGTACTTCCCTTCCCCCAGGGAAGTCTGGCTTCAATAAAACTCCAGTAGGTTAGGTTCTGGTAAAATAGTTTCTCCTGAGGGCCCATCTGGTGAAGAAAAACAATGCTCTCACATATTTCAAAATGGTTCCTCTTTCCTAGCCCTTCCAGAAGCACAAAGGGATTTTTCTCCAATCTCAGTGAGAACACTTGAAAAAGTGAAGAAGGGTCCTTATAACTGGGTCCATTTAGAGGCATTTAACTCTCATAACTGTTCACACTCAGCCTCCAGCAATTAATTAAAGTTTAAATTTCAGGGCGCCTGGGTGGCTCAGTCGTTAAGCGTCTGCCTTCGGCTCAGGTCATGATCCCAGGGGTCCTGGGATCGAGCCCCGCATCGGACTCCCTGCTCCTCGGGGAGCCTGCTTCTCCCTCTCCCACTCCCCCTGCTTGTGTTCCCTCTTTCTCTGTGTCTCTCTCTGTCAAGTAAATAAATAAAATTTTAAAAAAAGTTTAAATTTCTTATCCCCACACTCGTTCCCATGGATGTTCCTTCGTGTGGCTCTCTGCTCCAGTAAATTGTGATTTTCTGTATCTCCCTATCTATCTCTCCTATTTTTGGTGTAGACATTTGCCCTATGACCTCACTTCGCTAATGGATCTAAGAATTGTTTATCTTTCAGTTTGTTCAGCTCTTTACTCTGCAGTGACAACTTCTAAACTCATTTCCCAGACCAGAAACTAGAGTTCTCTCTTCATTTTATGTTTTTTCATTTTTATGGTATTGCTGTGCTTTCTGTAGTGTCCGTTCCTTCTTCAGCCCCTTGTCATTTGGACTTTATTTCTGAAGTGATTTTTTCTTGTCCTTCAATTTCTTTTCTTAGTTCTTTCAGTTCTTATTTCACATCATCTTAGCGTCTTGCCGTCTCTTTTCCGGGTTCCTTTTATTTCTGCTTTGTGATACAATTGCTTAATTAAGTTCCAAAATTAATGTTGAAAATGCTGAAATTCTTCTCCACATTGTAATGGCATTTTCCTGGTGTTTTTTTCTTCTTCCACTGACAAAATTTGATATTCCTTTGTTTCTAATATTACATATACAATTGAATTTTTTCTTAAGTTTGAATTAGGTGAATTTTTCAGAAGGACTCTCTAAAAGAGGGAAAATGTTAGGATAGCTTTCCCCGTTTTTTTAATCTCAAGGGCATCCTCTTCTTACTAAGTGACAGTTTATTTGTATATGGTGACTTGTGGTGACCAGATTTGCTTTGATTCTCATATCCTTATTTGTTTCACAAGAGTTCCTACCACTGACCCACTGACGTTTCCTTTTTGACTACACTACTAGCCAGTGCCACCAGGGATGAAGTTCCTGCCTCATAAAATAATCCCCTTTTTTAGAATAATGCTGTTTAAAAAAATTCTATAACCTCTGTTCCCTGTATGCTCTCCATACCATTTTTCTCTGCCTCTCTTCCTTGCCCACTTTGTGTTCAGATATGCCCTCAAAAATTCCCCCAGAGGGTGTGTATCATCCTTCTGAGAATAATTATTTATTGATTTGGGAGAGGGGGAAGTGCAGAATACATTTTGCCACCAATGGGTCATTTGGCTTCCTCACCTGGACACCAGTGTCACTTTCTACAGTTATTCTGGATTCTATGTGTTTTTCATACATTATTATTCGGTGTATTCTCTATCTCACAATTTTGCTAAAAAAAAATAATAAGTTGTGGGTGCTTCATTCATTCTTCTTATATTGCACAGTTTTAGGAGAAAAGATAGGAGGTATGGGTTTAAGTAGATTCCATAGTGCTACCTGAATCCCAAAGCCCTAAATATTATTATTTTTTTTTTTTGGTTGTCAAATGATCCTTCATTGAAACATCTTCCTTTGTGGTTAACTAGCTGGGCCTTCCACCGCACCACCGTCGATGTCATCTATGATGTCATGAGGGTGGTGGCCGTCAACATTGCAGCCCACAGACTGGGCGGTCCCCAGGATTTCTTTAATGGTTCCAGAGAGTTCTCTGGCTAAAGATCGGTGTCGCATCTGTCGGGCAATATTGACAATCTCATCAAAAGTGGTATTTCCACTGCGCTTAATGTTTTTCTGCTTCTTTCTGTCTCTTGGTGGTTCCTTGAGGGCTTTGATAATCAGGGCAGAGGCAGAAGGTACCACTTCAATCTGGGCCTGTCTGTTCTGAATGGCCCTAAATATTATTTTTAACCATTCACACCAAATACCTCCATGATGGCTCAATCACTGATTCCAAAAGATGACAACAAATGGGGATTTTTAAGAAATACTGATTCTTGGACTCCTCTGCCAGAGATCCTCATGTAATCATTCTGGGATGGAGGCTGATAATATGTTCTTATAAAGCCCTCTGTTTCTGATGCATAGCTTATTTAGAACCTAATAATCATGGACTTCAAACCCCCATTTCAACAAGAAATGTTTTAAGTAAAAGACTTTTTAGGGGAAATCTGTGCTAATAATAACTATGTTATTTTTCCTTTAAAAATATCCTTCTTGGGGTGCCTGGGTGGTTCAGTCAGGTTGAGCATCTGCCTTCAGCTCAGGTCATGATCTCTGGGTCTAGGATTGAGTCCTGCATTAGGTTCCAGTCCTGTACTGGGCTCCCTGCTCAGTGGGCTGTCTGCTTCTCCTCCTCCCTCTGCCCCTCTCCCCACCTCATGCTCTTTTTCTCTCTCTCAAATAAATAAAATCTTAAAATAAATAAATAAATAAAAGTAAAAATATCCTTCTTTGCTTTTTACTTCAAGTTAGCTAAAATTATCTTGGGGCTCCTGGGTGGCTCAGTCAGCTGAGCATCTGACTCTTGGTTTCAGCTCAGGTCATGATCTCAGGGTTGTGAGATTGAGCCTTGTATCAGGCTCTGCACTCAGCAGGGAGTCTGCTTGAGATTCTCTCTCTCTCTCCCCCCGCCCCTGCCCCCACTCGCAGGCACTCTCTCTCTAAAATAAATATTTCTTAAAAATCCTTCTTGCATTTTAATTCAAGTTAGCTAAAATTATCTAAATTTACATTTAAGGTAAATTTCTTTGGCTCTGTAAGTTGAACTAGCTCCATGTCTTTCTGAGTTTAATAGTTTTGAAAAATTTAATTTTAATGTCATTACGTAAATGTTGTATTCATAATAGGCAAATACAAATAAAGCATCACAGAAATAAATATAAAAATGAACACAAAAAAAGATCAGGGCCATTATGTTTGGTTGTGCACTGCAAAAGCAGGTATCAGTTCTCAGTAATTCTAACATGAATACTTATGTCTATGCTGTTCATTGACTACACTATAAAAACTTAACAAGGGCTGTCCATTGATACATAAATTGTTATTAGCAGTAACCATAATGCAGTCTAATCTCTCAGAAGAAGGTCTTTTATTTCTTTTATACTCCCTAAATTATTATTACAATGTTTGGGCTATATGGTAAAATAGTAAGAATGTAAAGAATAGTTAAGACAAGATAATTTTGAAATTAAGTTTTTTGATGTAATGTGTATTACAGGTTGCTTATTCAATTATTATCACTAAATTCAAAAACAAAATCTTTATGTGTACAAATGAGTCAAATGAGTACAAGCAATAGGTTAAACAGTTTATGCATAATGGAGAAATCACATACTACAACTTGTCCCAAAGATCAAAGTAATAAAGGCAAACAAAAAACTGACCCTAAGGCAAGTTTTCTCTTATTATGCATTTTCACAGATACCCATATATTAGGTCAAATACATAATGCTATAAAAATATGACATACTACATATCAAACTTCAAGCAGAAAATATTTCTTAGAAATAAAACTCCAAAGCACTCATCACTGAAGAAGTTCAAGATATCACTTAAAGGTATAAAACTTTACTATTTTCTTTTTTTTTTTATTCTTATGTTAATCCCCATACATTACATCATTAGTTTTAGATGTAGTGTTCCATGATTCATTGTTTGTGCATAACACCCAGTGCTCCATGCAGAATGTGCCCTCCTCAATACCCACCACCAGGCTAACCCATCCTCCCACCCCCCTCCCCTCTAGAACCCTCAGTTTGTTTTTCAGAGTCCATCGTCTCTCATGGTTCGTCTACCCCTCCGATTTCCCCCGCTTCATTCTTCCCTTCCTGCTATCTTCTTCTTCTTCTTCTTTTTTTTTTTTCTTAACATATATTGCATTATTTGTTTCAGAGGTACAGATCTGAGATTCAACAGTCTTGCACAATTCACAGTGCTTACCAGAGCACATACCCTCCCCAGTGTCTATCACCCAGTCACCCCATCCCTCCCACCCCACCCCCCACTCCAAAACTTTACTATTTTCAAAGAAGAAAAATTTTAATTCAAGTCTTATAATTATAAATCCAAAATAGAACATACCAATTACTTGTATCCCACATTCTCACCTGTCCAACCAGTATAAGCAGAGCAATCATGTGGGTCAGCTGTCTTCAGCCCCTCCTCCATTTGCTGTAGAAGATCTTTGATTTTGGTCTGGATTCGCCTTGTGAAATTATGAATGATCTGAGAACCAAAAGAATACAGAAATTTATATTGCGTAAGAATAGAGCAATATTATAATAAATACTTAAATAACCTCAGAACGTAAGAGGTAGAGATTATATTACCTGGCCCTTTTCGATGCTTCATTGGTGTCTACCTTGATTTTATAAGGTAAGTTTTTAAATGAGGTAATGCCCTATATGGACTATAGGCATTGGTAGGATTACAAAAAATAAGTTGTAGAAACCAAAGGAAATAAAAATTAAAAAAAAAAGATAGATTTGACTACACAAACATGTTAACTTCCGTAAGTTAAAGAATGTAAGAAAGATGGCTTAAAAATTAATGACAAGGGGGAAACATCTGCAATATAAAACATTATAAGTAAAAAAAGACCACAATATAGAAATAGACCTAAAATTATCAAGGTACCTTACAAAAAGAAAAATATGAAATGACAAACATATGAAAAATGTTAAATTACTTAGCAATTAATGAAATGTAAATAAATATAAGTACCATAGTTTGCCTTATCAGATTAACAAATAATAAAAAAATTTAAAAATATTAAGTCCCAAGGCTGCTAAGAGCTACAGAAACAAGTATTCTTAATCATCGGTAGCCTTTCTCCAGAGAAATTTAGCAGCTTCTTAAATAAGTAGTTGATAGTGTTCAAATTTTTTTTTTAAAGATTTTATTTACTTATTTAACAGAGAAAGAGACAGCGAGAGAGGGAACACAAGCAGGGGGAGCAGGAGGGAGAAGCAGGCTTCCCACCGAGCAGGGAGCCTGATGTGGGGCTTGATCCCAGGGCCCCGGGATCATGACCTGAGCCGAAGACAGACGCTTAATGACTGAGCCACCCAGGCGCCCCAATAGTGTTCAGATTTTTATGTCTTTGATGATTTCTGAAAGATCTAGCTGCCAGAGAAACTGCTGAGATATATTAAAATCCATGACTATGATTGTGGAATTTTCTATTTAACCCTTTATTATTTTTTGCTTTCATGTATTTTGTAGTTCTGTTATTAGACACAAATTTATGACTGTGCGTCTTACTGACAGACTGACTTGTTATAAAAATGTCCCTCTATGAGACTACGGAGAAAATGTTTTTGTGTTACCACACAGTTTAGGGCTTTCAAGCACATTTTCCTGAAATTTGGGATTCTAGACTAAAAGCAAACCTTAGGAATTAAGTTACAATTGTATACATTGTATTAAGTCCAGAGAGGTTTACTTAACCCTGGAGGTATGTGTTTATATTTGAGGGGGATGAGGCCCTAAAACAGGAAGACATTGGGCGCCTGGGTGGCTCAGTCGGTTAAGTGACTGCCTTCGGCTCAGGTCATGATCTGGGGGTCCTGGGATCGAGCCCCGCATCAGGCTCCCCCTGCTCCGCGGGGAGCCTGCTTCTCCCTCTGCTTCTGCCTGCCACTCCCCCTGCTTGTGCTCTATCAAATAAATAAATAAAATCTTTTAAAAAATTAAAAATAAAACAGGGAGACACTTCTGAATTGTATAACTGAAGAGTAACAGCCTTATCTTTTTCATAGAGAAATCGATTTACATTCCAAAGACTTAAGAGTATGATATTTCTAATGAAACTCTCCCAGAAGGAGAAGGGAAGACAGTTGCCTCTTTTCCATTTGTAAAAAGCAGAGAAAAGTTACGTTTCTTCATTATTTGCCTACAATACACAGATGTTGCATATGGAGGACATTTGACACAGCTTTCATTGTGTTGCCCCACAGGGAAGACCTGAGACACATGGAACCACTCACTGGTTATAGTCTGTCTGATAAATAGTAAATCTCTGATCCAGAAACCTCTTGTGTACATTCAGGAAAAAATTAACAGATAAAGATCAAAGACCTAAACCAGGGTGATATCAGCATCACTGCAGCATTAGGATTTAGGCATCCCTTGTTTTTGTCCTCCCTTTAACAATAAAAATTAGGCATCCATCCACAAACAGAAGTGCTTTTGTGTGAGTTGTGGAACCCAGCTCCTTACACCAAGGGACCATGGGAGGTCTCGCCCACCAGTCTATCAGGTAATAAGCAGAGATTTTGGTACTGGCTGTGGAACCTACCGGAGACTGGGAACTAGTTGTCGCCCCCGCCCCCCAACCTGTGATCTGAGAGTGCATGCAGAACCCCGAGTTGAGCAATCACTTTCGGATCAGAAAACCTTTGGAGAAGTCCAGATTTTGAGAGGAAAAGTTCCAACAGTCCATTAGAGGAAAAAAAAATGAGTTTGTAAGCATTAAATTGGGAAAGAGCTTGTCTTTATCAGCATTACCGCTTCCCAAAGGTGGAACGGCATAGGGCTAAATAGATGGCCCATGTTTTCTCCCATAGGGAAAAGGGAGAGCCCTTGAGTGAATGCCCAGTTTTCAAATCTGTGCAGGACTCTGCTGAAGAGACTCATTCTTCTTTCATGGCATTCAGAGCATTACTGGGAGGGCTCTATGACTGGGGAGAAGAGGAAAATTGGGGCAGTAGCATATAAGATTCCCAGAGCAGAGGGCATGAAAGGGATACAGTTCCTGCAGATGTGTTCTGGAGTCAGACACATGTTAATGAAAAATCAAGGAAACATGACATACCCGAAATATCACAATAATCTTCCACTAACCAAACCCAAAGACATGAAAATGTATGATTTATCCAATAAAGAATTCAAAATAGCTGTCTTAAGGAAACTCAATGAGCTGCATCTGCCTTAGGCTCAGGTCATGATCCCAGGGTCCTGGGATCTAGCCCCGCACTGGGCTCCCTGCTCCGCGGGAAGCCTTCTTCTCCCTCTCCCACTCCCTCTGCTTGCGTTCCCTCTCTCGCTGTCAAATGAATAAATAAAAATCTTAAAAAAATAAAAATAAAAACAAAAAAAAGAAAATACAGAAAGAAAATGTAATGAAATCAGAAAAAGAACACATGACCAAAATGAGAAATTTAACAGAGATGGAAATCATAGAAAAGAATCAAAAATAAATTCTAGAGCTGAAGAATTTAATGAAATAGAAAACACAGCAAAGAGAATCAAAAGCAGAGTAGACCAAATAGAAGATAAAATCAGTGAGAAGATAGGAACTTTGAAACAACCCAGTCTGAAGACAAAAAAAGAAAAAAACATTAAAAAGAGTGAAGAAAGCCTATGTGATCTATAGGACACCTTCAAAACAAAACAACAATATCTGCACCAGTTCCACAAACAGAAGGGGGCAAAACCTTATTTAAAGAATGATAGCAGAGAACTTCCCAAACCCGGGAAAAGATCTGGACATAATAAATAGATCACCCCATTATTTTAATCCGAAATGTCCCTGTCTAAGACACATTATAATAAAACAATCAAAAATCAAACTGTAGGAGTGCTGACAACACTGACTCCATCTTTGGCCCTCCATCTTGTTCTTCATGTTCACTTGATGACCTCTCTTGAAGCTACATGTTCTGGGCCCCTGGAAGATTAACATACATACCTTAGAAATGCCCATCAAGGCCAGGATGGGGGGAGGCTTGCTTTGGCCTCCCATGAATCTGTTAGAGATAACATAGTCTCACCCCTTCCTGATGCACAGGTGGTGCCATAAGATGTAATTAAAGATTAACTGCCAATTAGATACAGGCAAGCCCTTTGAAATGCATGCAAACCCTCTGATCTCACTACAATGGCCTTCTGTGCATCCCCTCCCTCTATAAAATCTCTGGACTAATGTCTGGATCATTCTCCACCTGATCCCCCATCAGTAAGTTCCCCTGAATAAAACTCTGTAAACTGTATGAAGTCGCCTTTGTTTCCCAGTCTCAAAGTCCCTTCTCCATTTGGGGGATGATGTAGGAAAGACGTCAGGGTTCGAAGCCGATGGCCAAGAAAGAATTCTTGAGACGTCTTCGGTGTAAAAAGGTGATTTTATTAAAGCACGGGGACAGGACCCATGGGCAGAAAGAGCTGCAAAGAGGTTGTGAGGGGTGGTGATTATACACCTACAAGTTGGGAGGAGGTTTACAGATAGCGTAAGTCTCTAAGGAATTTTGAAAGCAAGGTTTTCAGGACCTTGAAGGGACTTAGCTATTGTTGGGAAAAGGTCATTTATTACCGTTTAATAAAACCTTAGTCCTGAGACCCTTCAGATGTATATCAGTGGGCCATATGCTTGGGGGATGATTGTCAACACATATCTTGCGGGATTTAGAGATAAAGGAAAATTTCTGAAGGAATTTTTATATGTTAAAGCAGACTTACGGGGGGTCGGGCTAAGTGGGCCTTTTGCCCTTAGCAAGGTGTTGACATTGAGGCAGTTGAGTCCCTAGAGGAATGTCACTGCCTGTTTCAAGGACTTGTCCGTGGGCTGTAATAAGGAAATTTAATAATTTCTTTTCTTTTTTTCTGTCTCTGTTTCCCACATCAGGGGATACTTTACTGTCCTTCTCCTACCTTCTAACACAACACAAAGAGAGAAACCTAGATTATATAGCAAGAGAAAAGATTATATATAACCTACAAAGAAACCTCCGATGGGATTTCTCAGCAGAAATCTACAGTCTAGGAGACTAGGATGATATATCCAAAGTGCTGGAATTCTGAGACATGATTACTGGGCACAGGTTTATCTACTTTGGGCTTCTTATTACCAAGGAACTAAAGATATTTGGGTCCATTGGTAAACAGGTTTACCACATTGAGAAAGCTACTATGAGGAAGAATATACTTCTAGAAATTGTGAAATGTATTCATAAAATAGCCAATTCACAGAATGCTTGTGGAACAGACAATCCGTAATTGTTTACTTCTTAGTTTTCACTAGAAATTAAGGTCCCTAAGGGTTAAGAATTCTAAACAGTACATGTCATTTAAACTAACAGAAATAACAAGACTAAAAGGAAACAACTGTATTAAAAGTAGGCTAAGAAAAAGCACAATTTTTTTGGATAAGGAGAGATACGAAGAACATGTTTTTTGTTAAAGAAAAAAAGCGTAACTGTGTCCTACAGTAAAACGACTGGTTGTTCCAGAGTAAGAAAGAGGTAAAACCTGAATGGATGGGAAGGTTGTAGAAAAGGAGTCTTGGGAAAGGAATTTTCTGTGTGAGCAAGCAGGCTAAGACTGGAATGAATTTAAGTTTTTAAAGAATGAGTCTAAATATCAAAAGTACACATGCAAAATTAGAATTCGGTTTTCTCCCTGTTAAAAGGACAAACTTTTCTTGAAATATTGGTCTATAGAGAGGCTGTGAAAGGTTTGTCTTTACTTTTTAAGTAGTCTGCCCAGAAAGCAAAGATTCTGTGTCTTATCAAAGTAATTTTCTGTGCTTAAGTATCGTCTGTATCAAGATTTTAATCACTTAGGAGAAGGGAGTCTTCAATATTTGAGTTAAATTTTGTTCTCAACTATGTAACCTTTTGGATTTGCCTTTACAATCTCTTGTTTCCACTTTGGTTATGTGAATCACTACTATTTCATAATGATCTATGATCCTATTTAGTCAAGTGCTCAAAATTTTTGACATTTTGACAACTTTCCAAAATCGAATTCTAAATGGTGTCTTTGCCATTATAACAACCTAGATTTCTCTGAGGGTCCCTGGAAAATCTCAAAGGATTTGTCTCTTACATTGTAAAAAATAGATGTAGAGCGAAATATGTTTATTTGGCATGTTAAATTACATGGGAAGTACTGACAAATAAGTGATGATAAACTTTCTTAGGGTATTAGGGCCCAAGAGGAGGCAACCCCAAGATGGGCCCCTTTGGCATAAACATTATTTTGAGTTAAAAGTAATCAAAACCCAGGGGTGGCTGGGTGGCTCAGATCACCCACTGGGTGGCCCTGGGATGGAACCCCGCATTGGGCTTCCTGCTCAGCAGGGAATCTGCATCTCCTTATCCCTCTGTCGCCACACCCCACCCCTGCTCTAAAATTAAATCTTTTTTTTTTAAAGTAATCAAAACCCAGCAGATGCAGGAAAAGCTCTCTGCCTCCCCCACAACTGCCTAAATTTACATTGTAAAGGAGAGCCTGTAACGGGAAGAAAGCTAGTAAAAAAGACTCCCCTTTACCTAAGGAACTCATCTGCATAATATGGCAACCTTGTTTTTCCAAACATCCCCTTTCACTTCCTTGCTAATGGTCTTTCTCCCCCTTTGTGTCCTCAGCCCCCCCCCCACACACACCTCTCCTTAGCTCTTAAAAGCTTCCTGTTGCCTCATTATCTTTGGAATCTCCTGTCTGTATGGATTCCCTGCAAGTACACCTATTAAATTTTATTTTCTCCTGTTAATCTCTTACGTGGGTTTGATTCTAAGTCCAGCTAGAAGGACCACAGGGCAAAGGAAGATCTTCCTCCTCAACAGGTGTATGTGTATGGATATATGTTCCAATATGACCAATTATCTTAAACTGTTTCACACCACAGAAATAACTACATTTCCTTATCAAATGAACTCTCATCACATCTTTAACTATGGCCATTTTTTAAGTCTTCTGTCATTTACAGTCATTGTTTTACTCTTATGCTTTTGCAAATGTGCTTCATCTTCAGAGAGATACACAATGGTAAAAACTCTGGCAAGTAGTCTAGAATACAGATTTCACCTAACTTTAAGATCATAAAACTGAATTAGATAAGAATTTCCAGAACCAATGAAAAAACTGGACTCGAGCAGAACAAGAATTAACAACATGGGACTGAATGAACTGATGAGGATTATCATTTTTTCTTACAACTTTTTCTTTGAAACGTTGCTGGTTCCTTAATATTTTTTTCCCCTCCAGATTTAAGAAACCTCTTCTCTTTACTCTTACGCTACTTGTGACTTACAGTAAAAATGCAAAATACATGGGGAACCAGGGAGGGGAACTGGGACTTGGAACACTTAGGTCGGTGAAAAAAACAGTAACCTAACTGGTAAACGTCTGCTTTCACCAAACGTGAACAGTTACGCTGATGTTCACGTCTTCCCTTATTTCCACTTTTCCCCTACGAAATGAACGTTTGTTCAAATACCCCGTTTCAAAGTCCTGGGCACGCAGACAAGACCAATCCAAATGACACTACTGTTTATGAACAACGCTTTTTTGTTGTTGTTCCTATGCCGTAAATCCCAAGGGCAGGGGACCAGGGGCCAGGCCTGATGATAAAACCGGTCTCAGGGAGACGAGGAACAGACTGTCAGGGGGTCCGCTTGCAGCTCCAGAGGCTGGAGCGCGTGCGAGGGCCCCCGATAGAAAATAAATCGGCATGTCAACCGCCACTACAGCCCTGACATTCACTTCCACGTGCCAAGAAATAGAGGCTTCATCAATGTATTTCAAAGGCATGAGAGGCCAGGAGGCGCCTATCAAAAGGCAAGCTGTCAACAAAACAAATCCATAACCCTTCCTCCCGGAAGCAGGGCAACTTGCTAACAGAAAGCGCGCCCAGACGTCGTTCTTGCCCGATTCCCTCGCGCTCCCAGGTTGGGACTCGCGCGGCGCCCGGCGCGGAGAGGTGACGTCAGCGCGCCTTGGGGGCGGGGCGGGACGGGTGGACGCTACCATCGCCAACCCCCCCCCCAACCTGGCGCGGCCCAAGGCTCGGCCAGCGCCGACCGCCGACTCACCTTTCCGTTGTTGTGAAAAGGGAGGCCAAGCTCGTCGGTGGTGGGTGGGGGGCGAGTACAGCCCGTCTCCTCGGCCGCCCCGGCGGCGAACACCGCGGAGGCAGCGGCCTCGTAGTCCGGGAAGGGGTTGGTGAACGCCCGCTCCTCCATCTCTGCTTCCCCGCCCAGATGGAACTTCAGTCTCTTTGACATGGTCTCGCCCATCTCAGCCGCGCGCTCTTCCCCTACCACTGGGGCCGCGCGGCACGGCGAGCGGGCGGGGACAAACCTCCTGGCGAGGCGCTTCGATTCGAGCAACGCTCTGGGAGCCCGGGCGTGCTCCCGCCGCCGCCTCTCTCCGCGACCCTGCGCGGCCGGGGGTCGACGGCTTCCTTCACGAAGGCTGCCAGCGGCAAGGACGAGCGGGGCTTCGGAGCGGGCAGGAGCCTCTCCGGGGGGCCGGCCTCGCAGCGGGGCGCCGGCACATCTGGCGGCAGCTGTTGTGATGCACGTGGTGCCCCCACCCCGCCCGGACGCCGACTGGGCCGCCGATCCCCGGTGGCGCGGGCTCGGGTGAAGCTGCCCGGCCGGGAGCGCGCAGGCTCCGCGGGGAGCGCTCAGGCCGGAGCCTCCGCTGCGCAAGGCAGCTCAGAGTCCGCACACGCCTGGCCGCATCGCCCCTTCGCCGCCGCCGCCCGCTCTCAGGCTGCGGCCCCGCGGGGACAGGGGCCCGCGGCTTGCACAGCCGGTCCGCGGCGACGCGCACGGCAGGGCCGGAGTCCCCGGGCTCTGGAATCGCTCCCGGGCTCGCCGCGCCCGGCTCCTCTTCTGCGTCCGAGACCCTCTCCAGATTTTCCAGAGCAAGCCGAAGGACCGCGCGTGGCGCTTCCCGCAGGAAAAGCCTGTAGAGAATAAGTCGCTGTCATTCAAGGTGTGTGCGGTGTGCAGACCAGGGAAAGCGCGTCCCTAGACGCGCCATCATCAGTCTGCATTTTCACCAGCCGACAGGTTCCGCCGATGTCCTCTGCCCCCGGTGCGCCAGCCACGCGAGCAGCAGCAGCTCTTTGGTATCAAGGAAAAAAAAAATTCTTCTAAAGAAAAGCATTTCAAAACAGCCTAAAACACTGCAAGGATAGTGTCTCCCAGGGGCAGGGGGGGAAACAGTCCCTCCTATTCATCACAGTTGGGAGGGGGGTGTCTGGAGGAGGAGCCACAGGCCATTTTTTTTTTTTTTCCTTTTCACGTTTTATTTCAGTCCCTGTGTTTGAATAAACATATCTTTGGTAACAGGAGGTAATGTTAATCATCTAAATATTTAATTGGCCTGAAAGATTCCTCTTTCTTAATTGCCCGGGAACATAACATGCATAGTAAAAGGACACAAATAAATCGTGCCATTTATGTAATCACAGTATGATTAACAACAGCCTTTGTTGGCTCTTCTTGTTGTCACTTTAATTATTTGGGACCAAATAGATGTAATGATTTCTCCTTGAGGAAAATATCTTATGCCCCCCACCCCCAATTAAATATTGATTGAATGCCAGATGATGCTAGGTGATGACGAATAGACATTAAAAAAGGTAATTTCTGCCTTCGGGTTCCTACAGTTAGTGGGTGAGAAAGGTAAGGATTACAGCGTAGGAAGAGATTTTTTTTTTTTTATTCTGGAACCAAGCAAGATGCTTGAGTATAATAAAAAGTGACATGATAGAGGAAAACAGTATCAAACAGAAAGGAATCAATCCTCCTGCCTCTGGCCTGGCTCCCCACTGCCTACTGTTGTCTCCCCCAACTGTTCATGTGAAACACCCCCTATGATGGGATGGCCACTGGGGATTACAGTGTAGGGGAACATCATTTTAAAGGGATTACTCAGCATAACTATCCTCAGAGTTCAAGGAAACAACTGTATAACAGCGTGCCTATGTAGCTGCATCCCTTGAGGGCCTGCTCCACTTTCTGCTTCATTTCCTTGTCCTGGGGTCCAACCCTCAGTAAAGGAAATTTTCTTACTGCTCCCAATTTTTATGCTTCCACCTGGAGGAAATTTAATCCCCTAACTACTGATGTTCAGCTGCCTTAGGAACCACCCCTCTCCCACCTCAGGGACTTCACTAGACAAAATACCCCACAGCAGATATTCACCAAAGCCTGAGTTATTTAGACTAGAACACCACAGGCAGGTGGGGCAGAAACAGCCAGGACTGGCTTTGCTATGGTGAGTCTGGTGACCTTTGCTGTCTCCTCAAACCCATTCGCTGTGAAGTGAAGATCGTTTTTCTCATTCTTAAAATGTGGTGGGTACCTGTGGACAACTGTTGGCAAGTACACAAACTTACACGGAGGACAACCAATATTTTCAAAGACTAAAAAAATGTAAAACCGATTTAAGGAGTTGCCATCTTTTCCTAAATACTGTCTGATCTGCAGGTCTGCTGTTAGTGAAAATTTCACTTGCACTGTTTTGCAGAGGAGCGGAAGATCTTTCTTCACCATCCTGTTTCCTGGAGGCTCTTTAATACAGAAGATGCGGGGATCCGTTCTGCTGCCCTTTCAAGCTGCAGGACCGTCATCCTCTGGTGGCCACTCTTTAGTAGCATAAAGACTTGGGCCAGGGCCTTGAAATTACAACTTTTTATTCACTTAAGGCCAAACCAGATTCTTAGGGTGCCCTTCCCTACTCATCTATGTAAGTAAAGGGGGACAGTACAAGGATTAATGTCAAAAACAAATACCTACGAGTGGTGAGGACAATAGGCAATTCCTGACAAAGGAATCTAACTGGGAGAGGGGAACATCTGTGTTCACCTGGCTGAAACTAGGACACCACTCAAGGCTGGGCACTCTGAGAGGGTCCAGGGAGTGAGGCTTCCTCTTGTAGGAGATAGGTTTTCTTGAGAAAGTGAGCGGGGCTGCATGACAGGATCTTCCAGGTAGCGTGAATGTCGGGAGAGGGGTCAGGTGAAGGAGCATCTCTTGAGTACATGTGAAGGCCTAAGGTTTGGTTTGTTTGCTTGTGTTTTGATTTATTAAATATCTTTTTGTTTATTCTTCACGTGTGTGTCATATGGCAAGCTTCTAGATTTTTCTGTGTTCCTAAGCCACTGAGTGGGTCCTCCAGTCCTATCTGTGTTTGCCAGAGCTGCCTAAGCCTCCATGATGAAGACCTTTCCTTTGGGTAGTACAAGGGGAAGCCCCAGTAGGCAGACCACCAAATTCTCCTCTTCTTACACAGCAATTCCCTTTTGAGATTGTCCTACACTTTGTCCATACATCAGGGTCCAGGTTGTTGGCTTGTTGGGGAGGAAACAGGCTAGCCCAGGGGTATAGAGGGGAGATTGGCTTTACCCCTATTCTCTGTTGATACATAAGATGGTTTCTTCCAACTGTAAGCCATATATGCTCTACAGCTCTAATTTAAGACAGATTTGATCCGTTAAGCCAGTAACTGGTTCTCAAAGTATCATCAGGGGCTTTTTGGGGGCAGCTGTAAGGCCAAAAGTGTTTTTTCTTTCTTTCTTTCTTTCTTTCTTTCTTTCTTTCTTTCTTTCTTTCTTTCTTTCTTTCTTTCTTTCTTCTTTCTTTCTTTTCTTTCTTTCTTTCTTCTTTCTTTCTTTTCTTTCTTCTTCTTTCTTCTTTCTTCTTTCTTTTTCTTCTTTTTTGTTAATTTTGAGAGTAATTTAATATGTTAACATAAACATACAACTATATTCTAATGTCATTATTTGAAATATAAAGAAACAGATCCTCACAGAACTAAAATAACTCAGACCATGACGTTGTTTTTTCCTTTTCCTTTTCTTTAAATTTAGACAAGTTTGTACCATGATGTAGCAAATAAGGTAAATGCCATGAATATGAAAGCAGCAGTTTGCAATATACCCGATCTAGAACCCAGGGGAGGTGCACTAGACAGAAGTGTAGTCATCAGCATAGCATAAAGAATATAGTCGATAATATTGTAATAACTGTATGGTGACAGATGGTAACTATACTTATCATTGTGGGTCTTACATAATGCATACAATTGTCAAATCAGTATTTTGTGCACCTGAAACTAATACAACATTGTATGCCAACTGTACTTAAATAATAAAAACTAAAACAACAACAACAACAAACCAATTAGGTAACGTCATGAAAAATTGGTTTGCAGAATTAAAACTCTCCATTTAAATTTCTTTTCATGATCGGAGGTCTCATATTGTCTCCAGTTTCTTCATTGTATTTTGTGTGAAATCCATCATAGAACGGGGATTTTTGGACCACCAACAACAGCAGCACACACTGGGGTTGTCTTTCTGGATGTGAAGGTTTACTGTAGATTTGCTGCAATGATCTTTAACATAACATCTTTTGTAAACTAGATAAGCACTTGCAGCTGTTCTGGCAACACTGGTGACTGCTGAAACCCGTTCAGCTGGTGCTCTGGAAGTCAGACTCATTGCCTGCAAGGCAAGTAGGATGCTGAGCACAAATGGGCTTGTGTAGACAGTGGAGTCAAGGTGCGAGAGGAGTTCTCAGACATTCTTTGCCTATTTCACTGTCCACTCATGAGTGTACAATGGGGTTTTCTAGAGGCAACATGATATAAGATGTCATAGCAGATTTAATAGAGAAGCAAATATGAAAGTTTGGCTATCTTCTCATAGCCAGGTGTAAAGAAATTGGTAAAAATGTAAAATAATGCCACTCTCCTCATGCACATTATTTTAGTTTTGAAAATAGTTACGTTTCATAAAAATATGTTGTTTACATTAACCTATAGCACGTAATTTATGTTATGTTGCCAAATTAATAAATAATTAACATTTTTCAGTAATAATTTATAAACTGGTACATATTAATAGATATTGTCCATACAAAAGTTCTTTGGGATTCTCAATAAATTTTAAGTGTAAAGGGATTCTGAGATCAAAAATTTAAGAATTGCTGCCTTCAAACCTACAGAATGGGAGAAGATATTTGCAAATGACATATCAGATAAAGGGCTGGTATCCAAGATCTATAAAGAATTTATCAAACTTAACACCCAAAAAATAAATAATCCAGTAAAGAAATGGGCAGAAGATATGAACAGACACTTCTCTGAAGAAGACATATAAATGGCAACAGATACATGAAAAAATGCTCAACATCACTCAGCATCAGGGAAATAGAAATCAAAACCATGATGAGATACCACCTCATACCAGTCAGAATGGCTAAAATTAGCAACACAGGAAACAACAGATGTTGGCAAGGATGTGGAGAAAGGGGAACCTTCTTCGCTGTTGGTGGGGATGTAAATTGGTGCAGCCACTCTGGGAAACAGTATAGAGGTTCCTCAAAAACTGAAAAATAGAACTACCCTATGACCCAGCAATTGCACTACTAGGTATTTATCCAAAGGATACAACAACAGTTATTTGGAGGGGCCCATGCACCCCAATGTTTATAGCAACAGTGTCCACAATAGC